GGACGGGGCACTTAGGTCGATAAATGAGTAGTTAATGATTTTAATGAGGGGGTGTGATTTTTGAATGTTGGTCATTAAATTCTTATAGTTGAAATACAACGATGGTTTTTCATATCATTGGTCATGGTTAGATTCCATGTGAGAATAATGATAACATACATTGTGTTTAAGTACAATTTTCGTAGTAAGCTTTGTAAGTTTTTCTTCAAAGCCTTCTCCAATTTATGGTGGGTTTGGTTTGATTGTGGCTGGTGGTATCGGTTGTGGTATTGTATTAAATTTCGGGGGATCTTTTTTAGGTTTAATAGTTTTTTAAATTTATTTAGGGGACATGCTTGTAGTGTTTGGTTATACTACAGCTATGGCTACTGAACCTTATCCTGAAGCTTGAACATCTAATAAAACTGTATTGGGAATATTTATTACAGGGGTGTTAGTGGTAAGTTTTGAAATTGAGAAGTGTTAGTCCTGTAACTTTGTTTTTCTTTTCAGGATTGTTTTTGGCTACTCTGGGTTCCTTGCAATCCCATATGAATTTTAGAATTGGCTTATCCTTTTCTACAAAGAAGCATTTGGAATTCTCATAGAGATTGCTTTGAGTCTGTAAATTGGTATGGAGAATATACCTATCTTAATGTTAAGTCTTCCAATCCATGAACATGTGATTTTTTTCCCATCTTATATATCTTTAATTTTGTTCAACAATGTCTAATAGTTTTTAGAGTGTAAGTTCTGTACTTTTTTGTTAAATTTATTCTTAAGTATCTTATTCTTCTTTATTCTTGTTATTTGAATGGAATTGATTTCTTAATTTCATTTTCATATTGTTCATTGCAAGTGTATAAAAATTCAGTTAATTTTTGTATATTGACCTTGTATCCTGCAACCTTACAGAACTCATTTGTTAGTTCTAATAGGTTTTTAGTGGATTCCTTAGGAAGTTTTATGTACTGTATAAGATCATGTCATCTATGAATAGAGTTTTACCTCTTCCTTTCCAATCTGAATGCCTTTTATGCAATGTTCTTGCCTAATTTCGCTGGCTAAGACCTCTAATACAAGGTTGAATAGAAGTGTCGAGAGTGGACATTCTTGTTTTGTCCCTGATCTTTAGAGGAAAGCATGCACATGTATATACAGTACCTTGAAGGTGCCTAGTTCAGCGTTTGATTGTTCAAGAAACCTATGTTATTTGAAAGTATTATTAATTCACATTTTGGTTATGTAGCTCAGGGTTTCTTGAGAGTGAACTTGTATATATCAGCATCATCTGAGAACTTCTTAGAAATGCAAATTCTTAGACCTCACTCAGTCCCACTATGAATCAGAATCAGAAACTTGGGGGCGGGGGATTTACTTAGCCTTTTGCATGGTAAATGTAGTTCATATTCTGAAAAAACTACTGATGTGTAATATATAAGTATTTTAAGTATATGAAACATATAATATTCACGAAGGCTGCTTATAGTAGATATTTTTCTTTCTTTTTTGAAACATATGTAGAAACAACCCAGAGAGGTTATCATTTCTCTATGCTTTGGGGCAGTGGTTAAAAGAGTGGTTAAATGAGCCCTGGCATTGTACTGCTTGTCTTGGAATTCTAGTTCTGCCATTTGCTAGCTATGTGAATTTGGGTACCTCATTTAATCTCCTTGTGTTTCAGATTCTTCATATGTAAAATGTGAATAAGAGTGTCTCTTTTATAGATTGTGAAGATTAGGTGAGATAATACAAATAAAGTGCTGAGAATAGTGCTTGGCCCATAAGTGAATCCTTAATAAAAATATTTGCTATTACAATTATTATTGGTCAAGAGTACCCAGCCATGGCCCATTTTTATAACTTTCTTCTGTACATTTTTCTTGCTCTGCCTGAATTTTTCTGGCTCTTCTTTGGTTTATTCATTTGATAGATACTGAGTACCTCCTATCGATCAAGCACTGGTGTCTGTACTGTGACACATAGTAAGCAAGACAGTCGTTGGCCCCATGGGTTAATATTTCTAGTGAGGGAGACCAACAGAAACAAATAGATAATAAGTGTGTCCAATTGTGATGAGAGCTAGGAAAAACAGTAAGAGTGGGGTAAGAGAAGAGGGTGCTATTGGGAGCCACTTTAGATAGGATGGTCAGAAAGGCCCCTCTGAGGAAGTTTATTTTGATCAGAGTTTGATGAAATAAGAAGTAAGCCATATGAGTATCTATGGACACGTTCCAGGTAGATGGAACAGCAAGTGTAGGGGCCTTGAGATGGGAGTACTCTTTACAGTTGCTTGACTGGTTCCTTTAAGATTTAATTTAGATGTCACTTGTAAGTGACTTCCTCAGCTTTTTCTATTTGTTATAAAATAATTCAGACCTGACTTTTATTGATTTTTCCTCTTTTGTCTCCTTTAGGTATCTCTGATTCCATAGCAACTATATTTACTTCCTCTTGTTGCACTTATCACAGTAGACTATTATCGTCTGTTTTTCCCTCTAGACTTGAGTGTTCAATGTCAGGGACTATGGTTTCTCACTTATTTTAGTATTCCCAATATCAATGCATATAGATGTACAACAAATGTCTAAATGAATGAATAATGAGTGAACAAACAAGTTTTTAAACTTTGTATTTCCTTAGTATATTTCTCTCTGTACTTTGTTTCTGCCTGGTAATAATGATAGTAAGTACAATATATTAATACTTTCTTATTTGTCTGACAGCTTAGTGCATTAAATACGTTTTTGTATTTAGCCATTGTGTTATAATTTCTTTCTTTTTCTTTTTTTTTTCTCTTAAGACTAAGTTACGGGAGAGGAAAGAAGTCCTATTTGTTCATCTCTCTGTCAAGAGTGCCTAGTGCAATGACACATGATGAATGGATCAGCAGTTTGTATAAATAAGAAATGACTGATGTGTTAGCATGTTAATGCATTGAGTCTTCTGATTCATATAAACTATCTAGTGTAAAGCATATTTGTATAATATTCCAATTGACCCTGAACTGTGAGCTTTAAGCAAAATAGGTCATTTTAGTTATCTTTAATCTTCCTAGCTGCTTTCCCTCAATAATCCCTTGTCAAGTTTACTGTTCATGTAAGTGCTCCAGCCAGAGTTATTGTATTTCCTTAACTAGAAATGAAAAACAAATGGTCCACTAATTATTACAGAATACTTGAAATTGAGACTAGTTGAATATTGTCTCTCTACCCATTCACCAAAATTATCCCCTACTCCAATTCCAGTAGATATTCTTACTCCTACTACTTTCCAGATAGAGGTTAAGCAGTTACAGTTTCTGGTGTAGGTAATTCTCTGCGGAGTCTGTATGAGTGATCAGTAGACAACCACCAGAGCAAAACTTGCATTTGAAGAGAGGAGTATGCTAAGTAGGCCAGATGACAAATTGGTGGACTGTGTGTGACTGACTAACATCCTGCTAGTATTTTACGAAGCTAGGGATTGAAAAGCAACAGATCTTTTCATATTACAGTACAGATGAGTTGACAGTATTTTTCCGGTCAAAGTTTAGTCATTTGGCTCTAAAAGGATGCTTTTTATTTCCTGGTTTGTGGATATATTTCCAGGAAAAGACAATGAAACACAAGGATGGTTCATCATATGAAAATCAATCAATGTAATATACCACGTTAATAGAATGAAGGGGGAAAAAACCCCACATGATCATCTCAATTAATGCAGAAAAAGCATTTGACAATTCAACACCCTTTCATGATGAAAATACTCAGTGAACTAGCAATAGAAGGGAACTTCCTCAACATGATAAAAGCCATATATAAAAACCCACAGCTAGCATCATACTAAGTGTTGAAAGACTGAAAGCTTTTTTAAGATGAGGAGCAAGATGAGCATGACTCAAGATTAGCAAGAAACACTTCCATTCAACATAGTACTGGAAATTATAGGTAGAGAAATTAGGCAAGAAAAAGAAATAAAAGTCCTCCAAATTAGAAAGGAAAAAAATAAAATTATCTCTGTAGATGACATGATTTAAAAAAAATTTATTCTGATGGGGGCACCTGGGTGGCTCAGTCGTTTAAGCGTCCGACTTCAGCTCAGATCATGATCTCACAGCTCATGAGTTCGAGCCCTGTGTTGGCTTCTGTGCTGACAGCTCAGAGCCTGGAGCCTGCTTCGAATTTTGTGTCTCCCTCTCTATCCCTCCCCCGCTCATGCTCTGCGTGTGTGTGTGTGTGTGTGTGTGTGTGTGTGTGTGTGTCTCTCTCTCTCTCAAAAATAAGTAAAAACATTAAAAAAATTTAAAAAAGAAAAACATTTCATTGCTGATTCTTTTGGGTCTCTGGTACCCCATTAATTGTGAATGTTTAATTTTATTTGTGCAAAGCTATTGAATAAGCTAATCTTCATTTATCTGTATTAAATTTAAGCATGTTTGCCTTCTATTAGTACAGGCCAACTTTTACCAATCAAACCTATTAGTTCAGGCTATTAATCATCCTACAGAGTTGGGTGTCAGTGGTAGACTGTGAGGGTTTACCCTCTCTCCCATTTTGTAAGTTGTCATAATAATGAAAATTCTTTTTAACAAGTTCTTTGCTGTTTTTGAAATAAACAACTAATAAACATGTAAACATGCATGTTTTCTTAGTTTACTTTAAGAAGCTTATTTAAGAAATGGTGTTTATTCTAAATTATACTTGAGACAAACGAAGTAAGATTATGTGGATTTTTTAAAGTTTATTTTATCATTTTTGAAAGAGGGAACCTGAGTGGGGCAGGGGCAGAGAGAGAGGGAGAGAGGGAGAATCCCAAGTGGACTCTGCAGTGTCAGTGTGAAGTGGGGGCTTGAACTCACAAACCTGTAAGATCATGACCTGAGCTGCAATCAGGAGTCTGACACTTAACTGACTGAGCCACCCAGGCACCCCTGTGTGGATTTTTAAAAAATGTTAGGTATATAGTATGAAAATAATTGAAATAGTAAAGAATAAAGTTTTATTCTTCGATCTGTGTTATTCTGAAAACCAGTCAAGAAGTATATAAAGTTTACTTTATTAGCCAGTTTTATCTGTTCTTACATCAGAACCCTTTTACGCAAGTGATAGGAAACGCCAGTTCTTAAATGGAAAGGGAATATGTTAGTTTATGTAGTTGATAGGCCTGGGAGTAAAGCTGTCTTCAGATGTGTTAGGGTCTCAGTGATGTCACTTTTCAGTTTTTCCTTCATATCTTGGCTCCAGTCTCAGACAGGTTTTCCCATGGTAGCACTAAGATGTTTGTAAAGCTGCAGGCATGTGGTCTTTGTAACTCCTAGTGCAGTGGAAGAGAGAATCTCTTCTATGATAGTTCCCATGAAAGAACTGAGATTTTGTCTGATTGGATTGACTAAAGTTCACATTTGTTCCCAAAATAGTTGCTGTAGAGAATGGGTTGAAGAGTAGGTTTGTCAGAAAGAATTGAGATTACTGGTTGTTATGTGTTGAATTGTGTCTCTCCTCACTCAAATTCATAGGTTGAAGTCCTAGAATGTGACTTTACCTGGAATTAGAGTCATTATAGATATAATTAGTTGAGATGAGGTCATACTGGAGTAGGATGGGCAACTAATCCAATATAACTGATGTCTTCATCAAAAGCAGAAATTTGGGCACAGGCATACACACAGGAAGAATGCCATAAGATTGGAGTTATGTTACCATAAGCCACAAAACTACCAAAATTAGGGACCTGGAACAGGTCCTTTCCTAGTGCCTTCAGAGGGAGATTGGCACTGCCAACACCTTGATTTTGGACTTCTGGCTTCCAGATGGTCAGTAAATTAATGTTGTCCTTAGCCACTCAGTTTGTGGTACTTTTTTATGGCAGCTCTAGAAAACCAATGTAGTTATCATGAATTCCAGTCTGTCCTGTTGAGTGACTTTCTCAGCTGCAACCTCAAAGAAAAGGGGGTAGTTGAATTCATCAGGGTTTGGGATTTTGCTATGTTGGTGTGACCAAAAGACAAGAGGAACAAGAGAATTCAAGATATTAGCAAGAATATTATCAAAATGGTACACCGTATCTAAACTGAATGAGGAGGAAAGTACAACAAAGAAGGGGTCTGATGGTTTAGAGTCCAAGTGAAAGGGTCCGTGTTATAGAGGCAAAAGATGATAACTTGAAAGAAGAGGTTATGTTTGGAGAACAAGGTACTCAAAGTAATGATTTAGGAGGAAAAGTGTGTGCAGGTAAAGGTAGAAAGGCTGGGAAGGCTATTACCATGGGAGTAAGAGAGTGACTGGGCATAACATATATGTATAACTCTGTGTTTTGGAGAGACCATTGGAGTTAAGAGGTCTGGGAAGTAAGAAGCCAGGTTGTTGGATGGGTTAAGTCAATGGTGAAATAATCCATTGATGAGGTTTAGAGTAAAGAGGAAGACAATGAGTCAGGTGCCAAAGCCTTACGTGGGGTAGAGAGACCAGGTTAAAAGATACCAGTGTTAAGGAAGAGGAGAGAGTAATTTTGTTGAAAGGTAAGAGGTTCAAAAGAGTAGAGCTTTTTAACTAACTAGAATTTAAGTAAAAACTTAAAAACATAAAATAAAATAGAAAAAAAAGTAGAGCTTTATTTTGTTTTTAAGTTATTTTTTTAAGTTTTTTAATGTACATTTTTATTTTTGAGAGAGAGAGAGACAGAGTGTGAGAGGTGGAGGGGCAGAGAGAGAGAGGGAGACACAGAATCCGAAGCAGGCTCCAGGCTCCAGGTTCTGAGCTGTCAGCACAGAGCCTGACACAGGGCTCGAACCCACAAATCGCAAGATCATGACCTGAGCCGAAGTGGGTTTTTAACTTACTGAGCCACCCAGGTGCTCCTGTTTTTAATGTATTTTTTAAATGTTTTATTGATTTTTGAGAGAGAGAGAGAGAGAGAGAGAGAGAGAGAGAGAGAGAGAACCAGTGGGGGAGGAGCAGAGAGAGGGAGACACAGAATCCAAACCAGGCTCCAGGCTCTGAGCTGTCAGCACAGAGCTCGACGTGAGGCTCAAACCAACACATGGCCTGTGAGATCATGAGCTGAGTTGAAGTCATATGCTTAACTGAGCCACCCAGGTGCCTCTATTTTGTTTTGTTTTTGAAACAAAAAGTTGAGTAGTATAATGTGGACAAGCTGCAGAAATGATCAAAGAGCATTTTAATCCCATTTCTGGACCCTGAGGTAGGACAGTTATAAAAAATGGACCATTTGAGAGGGAGGTGAGAGGTTGAGTTTCATTTAAAAGAGGGGTTGAAAGTAACATTCGGAGAAAAGATGTGTCTAGCTTTTTCTTTAGGAAAGGACCAAGTATTATTTCATGTTAGGTGGTGAAGGGAACATTCTCAGAAGAGGTTGAGGAAAAAATGTCTTGTTTACCCTTTTCTTTCTCTACCGTAGACAGTAAACTCTCTGAGAGAAGGGACTGTGTATCACTGTGCCTAGCTCAGTCTTTGGTAAGTAGTAGGTTGTCAATAAATTTTGAATAAATGAATTTATACTCCCAGCAGTATTTGGGAATTTACTGCAAGAAGGAATTTCATTAATAATCATTCATTCAACTAATATTTATTGAGTGCTTCTGTAAGTAGGTACCATGCTAGGTATTGGGGATATGATGAACAAGATAGGCATGGGCTTCTGCTGTCATGGAGCTCATCTTATAGTGAGGGCCACCCACACAAAAAAAACCACAGACAAAATTAAAACAAGTTGTATTAAGGTCTCTGAAGGAAACAAGCAAAGCTAAGGAAGAAAATAAAAGAGAAGAGCACCTACTTTATGATGATCCAAAAAAATCTTAGAGTGGGTAACATTTAAGCTAAGTAAATGAAGATACCAACTATGCTTTTCAGGAAGAGAGAATGATGCATGCAAAAGCTGTGAATTAAGACAGAATTTGTACTTTTAGAAGAATTGAAATATCAGAGTGGAGTTAGTGGCCCTAAATCAGGCTGGAGACGTGAGCAGAGACTGGCAGCAATTCCAAGCCATGGCAAAGAGTTTGGATTTTATTTTTTTTGTCAAATAAGAAGCCATTGAGGGGTTTAAACAGGGTAACATTATGTCCTGATTTATATTTTTATATGACCACTGTATACTCTGTATGGAGAGGCAAGAATAAAGGCTGAGAGGGTGGATAAAAGTTTGTTACAGGGGTGCCTGGGTGGCTCAGTCGGTTGAGTGTCCAACTTTGGGTCAGGTCATGATCTCACTGTTCGTGATTGAGCCCCGCATTGGGCTCTCTGCTGTCATCGCGGAGCCTGCTTCGGATCCTCTGTCCCCCTCTCTCTCCGATGCTCCCCCACTCTCTCTCTCAAAAATAAATAAACTTTAAAAAAAAGTTTGTAGTAGTAGTAGGAAAGACAAGATATGGACTGAGATGTGAGAGAGTTGGATGAGTTCAATGTATATCTTGGAATTAGAGTTGATAGGACTTGCTGATGGATTGAAAATAGACAGTGAGGGACAGGTAGACTCAGGTATTTGGCTTGTGCATCTAGATGGTTTGTGCCGGGGATAGGAATGGGTTTTTGGAGAAAAAAAAAAATACAAGTCTTTCAGATGTTTGGGAGATACCCAAGTGGAGATGTAAAGTAGATGGTTTATGTAAATTTGGAGTTCAGAGAAGGGGTTTGAACTAAAGATACCCATTTGATAGTCATCAGTATAAGTGTGGTATTGATATCGTGGGACTTGATGTGATCATCTGGGTTAGTGTAGAAAAAGGGCCTGAGGTGAGGTTGTGAATGTCCTTGGTAAAAAAAAAAGGTAAAGTGCTATACAAATGCAGGAGATAGTTATTTTGTTTCATTTCTTCCTTATTTGAATGTTTATAAATTCATATATTATTCCTGCTTAAAGATAATGCTTCTCCCAGTGACTTCTCTTTATTTTGGGGTAACTATACTGGCATGTGTAGGACTTAACTATCTTCTGGTGAGAGACCAAAGCTACTCTTTCTATTCATTGTCACTCTGCCACTTAGATTTTTGGTCAGATTGAACTGGATTTAATAAAACTAGTTCATTATTGGTCTGAGTTGCTGCTACGTTCTGTTTACGCCCATTGTTTTTCAGTAGCATACAGGTATGTCATCTTTTGAAATCCTTTTCTCTACTTAAAGTACCTTTTGGTTCTGATCATCTCCAAAGCAAATATATTCTTAGGTCTAGGTTTTCAAAGTTTTCTTTGCAATACTAGTATTATAGTACTACTGTTATGTTACCAATTTATAATGGTTTGTTATGGGACTAACATGAGATGTTAGCACATTTGCAGAATGGAACACTGAAACTTTTATTATAGTGTAAGCTGTTTTGAGGGCAGGAGCCATGTATGATTTTTGTAACCCCAGACATATAAACCTATTGCTGTATCCCTAGAAGGCATCCAGTACATGTTTGTTAAATTATTAAATGAGTTGTGACTCACAGAGCTGAGGGTTGATACTGTGGATTCTCTAAGGGAACTGCTCAGATGGCTGCTTGTGTCTCTTTGAGCACCTTCTCACTGGCTTTAAAGGTGAGGACTGCTCACATGACTTGCTTTTTCTCCACCTCTACTCAGTTTCAGGGTTGTTTTCCTTTCTAAAGTTTCATTTTTATTGACGTTCTCTGGACTCTTCAGACAGCTTCAGATTCCTGTTTCCTTTGTCAGTTTGGATTGCTGTTGATCACCATTGCTCCCTTTTATTTTTTCATTCTTGTCCTTATCCTGTTTTCCTTTGTATTGTGAAATATACAAGTCTGCTTTAGACATTACAAGTCTGTCAGAAGGTTTTAGTCTCCAAACTTGAAAGCCATTCATACTGAGTAAATAAATGTGTATAAATGCATAGGCTCTTCTGGTTGTATTCATTTGTTACTTTGGCCTTTGGAGTTGCTGTTCCAACATTAAAGAAGTTGGTGGTTGTGATTGTGATGGAATAGTTAAAAGAATGTTAGGGCTAGTTCCCCCTTCTGGTTCCTCCGTTCTCTTGAAAATGAAGTATTAGATGGCTATATTCTAAGTAGCTGAATTTTTGTGTGTTAATATGTTAAAAATACTTGTATGGCAAATTACCCAGAAAATTGTGGCATTATATAACACTTACCTTTTATGTCTACTAGTAATGAGTTGTTACTCATTTTCTTAAATTTTTAGAGAGCAAAACAAAAAAGATTTTGCGTGGTTTTTCTGGAAAAATAAAAACTATTCCATTGTCTCCTTTTTGTTATCCAGATTTTTGTATCTGTTTGCCTTTACAGACAGGCTCTCTGTCTGGATTTTCACCTCTCTATTTCACAGTGGTCTTCAACACCACCTTATCATGGGAAGTTGCAAAAAAGTACTACAGAGAGGTCCCATATACCCTTTACCCAGTTGTCCCTAATTGTCATACTTCATATAACTATGGTACAATAGCAAAACTAGGAAATTGACCGTGGCACAATTCACAGGCCTTATTCAAATGTCATTGGTTTTATAGTTTTTTTTTATTATTTAAAAAAAAAAATTAACGTTTATTATTGAGAGAAAGAACATGAGCATGGGAGGGGGTGAGAGAGGGGGAGATACAGAATCTGAAGCAGGTTCCAGGCTTTGAGCTGTCAGCACAGAGCCTGATGTGGGACTTGAACCCATAAACCACGAGATCATGACCTGAGCCCAAGTTGGACGCTTTACTGACTGAGCCACCCAGGTGCCCTGGTTTTATAGATATTTTTGTGCATGTTTGTATGTATGTAGTTCTATGTATATGCAGTTTTTTTTTAAATATGAAGTTTATTGTCAAATTGGTTTCCATACAACACCCAGTGCTCATTCCAACAGGTGCCCTCCTCAATACCCATCACCCACCCACCCCTCCCTCCCACTCCCCATCAACACTCACTTTGTTCTCAGTTTGTAAGAGTCTCTTATGTTTTGGCTCCCTCCCTCTCTAACCTTTTTTTTTTTTTTTTTCCTTCCCTTCCCCCATGGTCTTCTGTTAAGTTTCTCAGGATCCACATAAGAGTGAAAACATATGGCATCTGTCTTTGTCTCTATGACTTATTTCACTTAGCATAACACTCTCCAGTTCCATCCACGTTGCTACAAAAGGCCATATTTCATTCTTTCTCATTGCCACGTAGTACTCCATTGTGTAGATAAACCACGATTTCTTTATCCATTCATCAGTTGATGGACTATGCATATGCAGTTTTATCATGTGTGGATTCATGTAACTAACAGTAAGTAATTAAGATAAAGAACTGTTCCATCACAAAGGTTTTTTGTTACTCCTTTATGTTCATACCCATTCCCCTCTTCATTTTATTAATTTATTCACTGGTTATTCTTTATTGTGTGAACTTGTGATTAATGGAAAAAAGATAAAAATTATGTTTTAGAGGTCCTTTCTCTGTTTTTACCTTTTTTCCCCACATTGTACTATAACCATTTATAATAAGCCTAACACTATTTAAAGTTTCAGTTCATTTTGTGTATTATAGAATCAGTCTCTCAAAAGTCATATGATGTAGCATCTACCTCCCATATAACCCCCCAGAGATGAAACTAAAAATTCCATATGAAGCAATTCTTGATATTTATTTACTAACCTATGGATTTCCCTAGTAATCAGGTCCTCCTCCTCCACCTCCTCCTCTTCCTCCTCCTCCTCCTTCTTCCTTCTTCCTTCTTCTTTTACTACCTGGTATACTTTGGTGTTAGATTATCTATATGTTAACTTTTGAAAAATTATTTTGAGTAAGAAATAACCAAAAACATCAGTAGCTTACAATGGCAAAAGTTTAATTATTGCTCATGTTATAGGTTCTCCTAGTAATCATCTATGGTTCTACACTACGATTCTTTTTCATTTTAGGATCCAGGGTGAAAGAGCACCCCCTATTTGTGATGTATGGTTCTCTTGGTAGAGAGAAAAGAGCAAGAGTTGGTGAAAACACACAATCGTTCTTAAGGCTTCTAACTTGGAACTGGAAGTTTCTCCTATTTCACTGGCCAAAGTAAGTCAAATGGCCAAGCCAGCAGTAGGGCTGTTCTTGCCATAGAGAGGCACTACAAGTCACACGGCAGCAGGCAGGGATGTTAATACTTTTATAAGAGGAGAATAAATGATTGAGAATTATAATGCAACCTGCCTTAGTATAGTATGCTATACTTTTTTTAATAATTTTTTTCTTACTAAAGTTTACTGTACTTTAAATGATTTTTTTCTTAATAAAAATAGATCTTTTTTTTTTTTTCTTTGTTGCATTAGTTAAGGGTGTTGGTTCAAGCCAAAATCATAGTGTTTAAACAAGAGAGTTTATCTTCCTCAAGTAACTGTCCAGGTAGAGTAAATGGTATAGGGCTGATACGGCATCTTCATGATAGTGTCAGGGATCTACGCCCTTTTTCTCTTATCATTCTTTTATTCTCAGCCATGTTTTCCATCTCAGTGTGGACCGCTGTTCCATGTTCTGCTACCATATCTTCATTCTGGCCAGCTAGAAGAAGGACTAGGAGGTAGAAAGCATTCTCCTTCGCTGTAGGTACATAACCTGGAGTTGGACACATTAGTTACATCCTCATTCCATTGGGAGAATTGGGATTGTAAGAGAGGCTGGGAAATGTAGCTTTAGCTAGGTGTCCATATGTCCAGATAAAGCTTAGGGATGCTGTGAGACTATAGATGCTGGAGAGGATGTGGAGAAACGGGAACCCTCTTGCACTGTTGGTGGGAATGCAAATTGGTGTAGCCACTCTGGAAAACAGTGTGGAGGTTCCTCAAAAAATTAAAAATAGACCTACCCTATGACCCTGCAATAGCACTGCTAGGAATTTACCCAAGGGATACAGGAGTACTGATGCATAGGGGCACTTGTACCCCAATGTTTATAGCAACACTCTCAACAATAGCCAAATTATGGAAAGAGCCTAAATGTCCATCAACTGATGAATGGATAAAGAAATTGTGGTTTATATACACAATGGAGTACTACGTGGCAATGAGAAAGAATGAAATATGGCCCTTTGTAGCAACATGGATGGAACTGGAGAGTGTGATGCTAAGTGAAATAAGCCATACAGAGAAAGACAGATACCATATGTTTTCACTCTTATGTGGATCCCGAGAAACTTAACAGAAACCCATGGGGGAGGGGAAGGAGAAGAAAAAAAAAGAGGTTAGAGTGGGAGAGAGCCAAAGCATAAGAGACTCTTAAAAACTGAGAACAAACTGAGGGTTGATATGGGGGTGGGAGGGAGGGAGGGTGGGTGATGGGTATTGAGGAGGGCACATTTTGGGATGAGCACTGGGTGTTGTATGGAAACCAATTTGATAATAAATTTCATATATTGAAAAAAAAAGCTTAGGGATGCTGTTGCTAAAGAAAGAAGAAAGGATATTAGGAAACAAGTAATCATCTCTTTTTATTTCAATTAATTTAATTCATATAAGACCGATGAAAAATAGACATTATTAGCACTTTATAGATAAGGAGACAGGCTTTTTTAAAAGGTGAAGTAAATTGTTCAAGATCATCTAAAAAGTAATGGAATGGACTTTGAATCTAGGCCTATCTGATACCAAAACTTGAGTATTTTTTTTACAAAACTGTATTTACTTTCTAACATCTGTTATAAGCACTTAACATTTTTTCAGAGTAGTAATAAATAGCTACTGACTCTTGAGAAGGAATTCTTACATTTATGAATATTTTACTTTGTGGCAACTGATAAGAGTTTATTATATAGCTAATTAATAAATAATTGCTTTTAAATAATGTTAGAATTTTAAAAGATCAGATTTTTGTCTTGACAACTGTAGTTTAAAAGTTTTCCTTTAGAAATTAATTTAGATGCTAAAAATTCATATGCATTTTTTTTTAATTTTAGAGAGAGAAAGCATGAGTGGGGGAGGGGGGAGAGGGATACAGGGAGAGAATCCCAAATAGGCTCCATGCTCAGCACAGAGCTTGATGTGGGGTTCAGTCCCATGACCCTGGGATCATGACCTCAGCCCAAATCAAGAGTCAGATGCTCAAACCACCTGAGCCACTCAGGCACCCCCCATATGCAATTTTGAATACTGATTTCAGAATTTTGGAGTTTTATGTTTTTCCTCAAAATGAAAATGGCTTTTTTGTTTTACTTATAAAAGTAGGATGTGCTTTGGGGCGCCTGGGTGGCGCAGTCGGTTAAGCGTCCGACTTCAGCCAGGTCACGATCTCGCGGTCCGTGAGTTCGAGCCCCGCGTCGGGCTCTGGGCGGATGGCTCAGAGCCTGGAGCCTGTTTCCGATTCTGTGTCTCCCTCTCTCTCTGCCCCTCCCCCGTTCATGCTCTGTCTCTCTCTGTCCCAAAAATAAATAAACGTTGAAAAAAAAAATTTAAAAGTAGGATGTGCTTATTATAAAAAATGTTTTCAGAGAATACACAGTAGTACAGAGATGAATGTAAAAATAATTTATGATCCCATTTTTCAGAGATACTATTACCATTTTTTTAATTTTTTAATTTATTTTTTAATGTTTATTTATTTTTGAGACAGAGACAGAGCATGAACGGGGGAGGGTCAGAGAGGGAGGGAGACACAGAATTTGAAGCAGGCTCCAGGCTCTGAGCTGTCAGCACAGAGCCCGACGCGGGGCTCGCACTCACGGACCGTGAGAACGTTGGCCTGAGCTGAAGTCGGACACTGAGCCACCCAGGCGTCCCATCACTATTACCATTTTAGCTCTGCCTTTCAAATTTTTTTCTGTCTGCATTCATTGTGTGTGTTGTGTATGTGTGAATTCTTTTTGATCTAAGATGATCATATTTCAACAAAAAAATTTTTTTTTTTTACTGAGACATAAAAATGCTCATTGGTCTTGCTTGATGAGTGAATTGGCAATTTGGATGGCTTTTTCCATTCTCATTTAGCTGTATCGTATTAGTATACTAATCAGCACAGGGTGTACTTTACAACACTTTAGTGAGCTAATGCCTTCTCAGATGTGTTTATGTAGTAACCAATGTGATGTCTGTAACATGATGATTAATAAGGTATAGTTTGGAGCTCAGAATTTCTATATATGAGATTTTTTTTTTCTGGGTACTAAAAATTCAACTGAATTATCTTTAAAAATTAACTCTTCATTATTGATGGAATGTATTTCATTTGCTTCCTCTGGAAAAGTATATTTACTCTTGTCTTTTTACTTTTTACTCTTGTAAGTAGGGTGAGTATACAATTTTTCATTCAACCTGGACATTTTTGAGAATGAAAGGGACATTTATAAATATTTAGAATTCTGTAAGTTTTTTGAAATACTTAATTTTTTTTTGGCCATCAAAATGATTTCATTACATTGGTAGATTAGTAAAGGAGTTCTAGTCAGAGACAATTTTCAAAAACAAAATGTACTGAAGTACATTTGTTCTTTGTTATAACAAAATTAAGGTTTTACATTGTCAATATTAAAAAACACAGATAGAATTTTTTTTGGTATTTTTTTAATCATTTCTTAGCCATAAGTGTCTCTAATATTGTGTCACTAATACTTTCTGAAGAATGTAATTATTTTCCAGTGCAGTTTAACTAGTTTAAATTTATTCATACAATTGTCTGCTGTAGTTAATATTCACAGTTTATTCTCTGTAACCAGTAATATTAATTGCTAATGTACTCTATTTGTTGTGATGTACCTGGTTAGTTCAGGGAAAAAAAATTGCTAAATGAAGTATTTTCTTAATTCTCATTTTTTTCTTATTGAAAATTATGAATTTGTTAGCCCCAATATTTTTACAGGAGGTGTTACAGGCCTCTATTAAGGTACTCTCTTTGGCAAATATTTTTATAAGACAAATCTTGTCATAGAAGTTGTCCCTCTTTATGATTATTTTATGTTTCACTAAATTTAGTGCAAAATTGTAGGCTTTCTATAATTTCATTTTATTCCAGTACAGACTATAAATGTATCCAGTTAAAAATAGCAGGAATCTTTTGATGGAACTCCTGTAATTCATTACAAAGTATAATTATAGAATTTCAGAATTAAATCTTACATACTCTTTGAACCCTCATCATTTAATTTGTTTAGTTCTTGCCTTGTTTTTGAGGAGTATGTTTCAGTGTCTTGGCAGATTTGGTTTATAATAATTGATATTTGCTAAAAGCTTCAAAAGCTGAAGTGTTTTTGGAACTTTATTCATTGAACTTCAACTTTTGATTAAAGATTGTCAATTGATTTTGAGCAATGTACAACCAATTTCTAGAGGACTTGTTTTCAAAGATTCAGTACTGAAACACTTAGGTTGCATTTATGAAGTCAGTTTTCCAATGATTCCAGTCTTTAAAATCAGATGACAGGTTGCAAGGAGAGTATACATAAGTTTTTTTTGTTATTTTGTGTCTAATACCATTTTTATCCTTAAAATTTTAACCGTGGATATATGAAAACATTTGTAAATTTGGACAGTTGTAGCTAACTCATTAACAGTGATGTCACTAGAGCTCCATGATAAATAGCAGTAGCTTCAAAAATTTTATGCAAATTACCTATCTATCCATTTTTCAGAGAAATGAAAACTGAGTATTTAATTTTGTATTAAACATACAATTTCTTCTTTTTAGTTCATTGTTTCTGAAAGGGCTTCTTGGATAATAAAAAAACAATTGCCAAACAACAAAATAAGTAGTTCTAGAGTTATATACCATACAGTAAATAATAAAATTCAGACTATTGTTGACTCCTTGCATATACTTCATTTGTCCATAGCCTGTACTTTCCCACTGACTTAGCCAGCTGGTGGGTGGCCTGGGGCATGTTGCAGGTCTTTGTATGTGTCAGTGCAGTGACTGGCATACCAAATAGCCATCAGGAGTACCAGTGTCAAATACTACTTCCACTCTCCCACAAGGGTGTAAGGAGTTAGCAACCTCTAAGGTTGCTTGTGTCTGAGGATACTTTTCAGTGAGTCTTCTGCATGCTGTTTCTTGAAAAGAAGATGGTAGTGATACTGTATCTGCGAAGAATTGGGAAAAGAAAGATGGAATTATCACTAGTCCTCTTACAGATTTCATCATTTGAAGAAGTGGATAAAGCACTTACACTCTACTAGTTAGTTGATAGCTTGGCCAGAAGTTAGATGTATACAGTAGAGGTGTACTAAATCCATCTTGGTTTATTTTTTTGTTTGTTTTTATTTTTTTTTTAAGTTTATTTATTTTGAAAGAAACAGAGATAGCACGAGTCGGGGAGGGACAGAGAGAGAGGGAGAGAGAGAGAATCCCAAGCAGTCTTTGCACTGTGAGCATGGAGTCTGATGCGGGGCTCAAACTCACAAACTGCAAGATCATGACCTGAGCTGAAGTTGGAGGCTTAACTGACTGAGCCACCCAGGTGCCCCTCATCTTGTTTTATTTTAATACTGCCACTAATAATAATAGTTCATTTAAGAAAATGCAAAATCTGAGACAAATGGTAAACTGGATGGGATGCTGGGACAACAGATTGTAAATCAAGACTGTCCTGAGCAAACCAGGACATATGGAAAGGAGCATGATACTGTGAAAGAGCATGGAGCTTCGAGTGAGATAGACCTGTGTTTAAGTCTGGGCTCTGCCGTTTAAAACCTTGGACAAGTTGGGGCGCCTGGATTGCTCAGTTGGTTAAGCGTCCAACTCTCTCTCTCTCTGTCTCTTTTTTTAATGTTTATTTTTGAGAGAGAGAGACAGAGCACGAGCAGGGGAGGGGCACAGAGAGAGGGAGACACAGAATCTGAATTAGGCTCCAGGCTCCAAGCTGTCAGCACAGAGCCCTACACAGGGCTCGAACTCATGAGCTGTGAGATCATGACCTAAGCCGAAGTGGACGCTTAACAAACTAAGCCACCCAGGCACCCCAGTATCCCACTCTTCATCTCAGCTCAGGTCTTGATCTCAGGGTGGTGAGTTCAAGCCCCACCTTGGACTCCACATTGGGCATGTGAGGCCTACTTAAAAAAAGTAAATAAAAGCTTGGACAAATAATCTTTCTGAGACTAGGTATATTAGGGTTCTCCAGAGGAACAGGACCAACAGGATAGACACACACACATTCACATACATTGAATGATTGACTAATTTTATGGAATTGGCTTATGCAATTGTGAATGCTGGCAAGTCCTAAATCTGTAGGGCAGGCCAGCAGGGGAGAGTTGATGTTGCTGCTGAATCTAATGGCTTTCTGGAGACAATACCTTCTTCTTCAGGAGGCTTCGGTCTTTTTTCTTAAGACCTTCAACTGATTGGATGAGGCCCACCCACATTACTGTACTCAAAGTGTACTGATATAAATATTAATCACATTAAAAAATACCTTTACAGTAACATCTAGAAGAATGTTTGACCAAACAACTGGGCTAGCCTAGCCAAATTGACACATACAATTAACCTTCATACTAGGTTTCCTCACGTGAAAACTTGAGTGATACTATGTGGCTCACACTAGATTTCCTTATTTGCAAACTGGAATGATACTATGTGGCTCACAAGGATTATTGGCATAATGTGTTCTCAAAGTAGGCATTCAGTGAATGTTGATTTCTTTTTTTTTTTTTAATTTTTTTTTCAACGTTTATTTATTTTTGGGACAGAGAGAGACAGAGCATGAACGGGGGAGGGGCAGAGAGAGAGGGAGACACAGAATCGGAAACAGGCTCCAGGCTCTGAGCCATCAGCCCAGAGCCTGACGCGGGGCTCGAACTCACGGACCTCGAGATCGTGACCTGGCTGAAGTCGGACGCTTAACCGACTGCGCCACCCAGGCGCCCCGAATGTTGATTTCTTAATCCAATTTTCATACCTATTAAGGCTATAGCCCCAACCTTGATGCTTGAAGATTTTTTTGTGTGTTTATTTTCGTATTTCTAGCTAGACTTCTCTTGCCCCCTCATCTACTTAATAAGTCCTGAAAATTTATCTTACAAATGTTTATTCAGACCATATTCTTCTTTTCTGCCATTTCTAGTGTTCAGGTCCTCTGCTGGGCCCATTAAAATTATTTCCTAAGTAGCCTTCTACTTTCCATCCTATTTTCCCCTCTTCACAAATTATCACCTGGACCTAATACTATGTTAATAACTCTTGAATCTGTTCCCTTTTCCCATTCTCATTTTCTTTACTTTTACCATGGCATATGAATCCTTTCTTAAGTTATCTTCTACAAAACTTCAAAATCTTACTTCCAATTCCTGTCACCATTCACAACTCCTTACTGTTCTTTTCAAATGTAACTGAGCTTTCTGTTGATTGTTTGCCCTTACCTCTGTGTAGAATCACCTTCTCACCTTCTCCCCCATTCTTCAAATTCCTGCACTGATGTCACTTCCATGAAGCCTTCTTGGATACCCTTCCTGGTTCCAAAACACTCTTACCCAATCATGTACAGGTGAACTTGAGCCTTCAGACATTGATACTCCTAAGCTGCCTTTGAAGTGAGAATAGGAAATCTGTTCATCAGCAGACCAGGGAACCCTTTGAACTGTGGTATGAATTGAACAGCACTCCTTGCCTACAAGCATTTCAGGTCTGATGATGTAAACATCATCTTTTTGTATATCTGGTTCTGTATTCATTTGATTGTTTTATTGAAGTGGTACTTGAGTTGTATTCATAGGGACCTTGGACACTTGAGTGGAGGGCGAATGCCAAAGGTTTGAGCCTTTCAACTGTCTTTAACCAAAGTATTTCACCCCTAATTTGTTATATTTTGGGTTTCTGGGTAAAATTTTGCATGAGAAAAAGGAGTTTTTATGTCAAAAATAATTTTAAAATTGTTTTATTTTTTTGTCTGCTTGATTCCTTTTTTTTTTTTCTTTTTGAAGTTTGTTTTGGGAGGGGGTAGAGAGAGAGAGAGAGAGAGAGCGAGATTCCCAAGCAGGCTTCTCACTGTAAGCATAGAGCCCACAAACTGTGAGATCATGGCCAGAGCCAAACTCAGATGCTTAACTGACTGAACCACCCAGGCACCTTTCTACTTGACTCTACTTGATTCTTAGTAATCTATAGGGCTGCCTTTATTCATTTTCCCTCCCCCACAAGAGAAACTAAAACAAACTTTTTGAAATGAAGGATATTTTAATCTTATTCATTTTATGTCTCAAATATCTGCTAAATGAATGCAAATATAATAGTATAAATTATTGAATAACATTTATTTATTTATTTATTTATTTATTTATTTATTTATTTATTTATTTATTT